CCAGGTTTCTTACCTGGTTCAACAGGCCCAAAACAATCTAAATCAAACTCCCTTCTTTAACTTTGTATCCCACGCAATTCTATTATATTAAATTATTCACTATTCTCTGATCCTCCATAACCATGCACATACTAGTCTTCCTTCAGAAAAGTTCTATGAATATTTCAAGTCAGAATTCAATTTCCTTGTGATGATTTCTTTATTTTCTCCGAAAGAAGTTGCTTCTCTCTTTTTGGGCCTCATACAACACTTGCTACTTACTTTAATTATAATACACAACACATGTAGAGCAACCTTCAGCTTCAATCTCTCCCTATAAAATGCATGTTTTTTTTTTCCAGACTGTCACTAGGGCTATTCTCTTTGATTCAGTACATACCAATTTCTCCATGCATTTTTTTTGCTCAATAAATAAATGGAAAAGATACACCATCACCCATCAATTATCCAGCCAAATGTGTAAGTTTTAACTGTTTACTGTTGCATATTCTGTTCTTCCTGTTTACAATGCTAGTCAAGAATGACTTTCCTATAAATTTATCTCTAAAATAAATGATGCTGCAGTTTGGTGCAAACATTTTATTTATTTATTTACTTCTTGCGCGTGAAACATTTTCCCAAAGAAATTGATTTTGAAAGTTAGGGCACTGCCTGTTAAATATTGCTTTTATTTCTGCAAAACAATAATTTTACATCATATGGGATGGCAAGTTCTGGTACATTGTCAAACTTTATTTAAGCTCCTGATGTAATCCTCTGATGCCAGTTCAGAATTGCTATTTTTAAATGAATACTTTCCTTGAACTGACTTTTAATTCCTTGGGTAATTTCTACTTGCTATTAGCTGTTGAATAGTTGTGCCTGTGCATCAGAGTTCAGGAAAATAGCAACCATCTGCCAAGAACCACAGACCTTAGCCCTGGGTCTCTATTATTCTGACAGCTCCACCTTCTCTAATGGAAGTATCAGTACCCAGTGAGCATTCTGTTGGCACTCAGAATGGAAGTATTAAGACCCCATGGCCCACTCTAGGTAAATTATATATTGTCATGTCCTTTGCTAAAAATAAACTAAAAGTTGGGGGTGAATCTTCAGGAAGAATTAAGTAAATAGTGTTATTAATATTTCCTCAAGCACAAAATGGAGCACACCAGTTCTTAAGAGGTTAAACCACTTAAAAAACAGACTATTCAAAGGAGGAAAAAATATAGAATTCTGAAGAACTCACTCTGACAACTCATTTAACAAGCACATACTGTTTGTTCTCAGAAAAGTCAGCTTTTGAATTTAGAGGAGTTGAAAGGTTCATTTCTGGAAACAGCTTGTCCTCAAGTTTTTTAATAGTTCAGTTAAACTGAGAGTGGGAGTCACAGGATGAGTACAATGGAAATACTCCAACCTTTTCAGTGACCTTATTTTGTGCATGATAAAGAACTTTCCAGTGTGCAAATAAATCAAGATTTAATGAAGTTCCCTGAATGAGGTTTAATAAACAGTTCTCCAATTTGGAAACTGTCCCTATACTCTCTAATTATTAAAATCTGATTATTCGAAGAAAAAGAAATTAGAGTGAAGCAGAAACATCTGAACATGACGGCCATTACTCTTTACAATTTAAAAAGCTGCTTTAGTATAGTTAATATATTTAGTATGTAAATAACCTATGAAGTTTATTCAGGAGGGCTGTAAATCATAGTGGATAAGATCACAAGATCTGTGTTCATGAATCCCTGGACTTGAGTGTTAGCACTACCATCACTGGGGCAATTTAACCTGCAAGCCAATGTAGAATTGGAATATACAATACATAGGATGTAGAACAATAATAATGGTTTTAACTTTATAGAGTTATTGTGGTACTAAGGAACACTAAGTAAAAAGCTGACCTGTATACTTAAAACATTAAGTCAAATAGATTTCCAGGATCTGTTTAGGTAGAGAAGTAGCATTTGTGCTTAGTTATCAGCAATCAGAGAATATTGAAGTCCATCCAGTTAATCCTCTCTTATAAAATGTAAGTAAATAAACCAAGTTGTATATAAATATTCATACTATAAAAATTTTCATAAGGAATATTCCATGCACTTTACAAAAAATATTAGTTGGCATTAAAATACCTTCAGATAATATAGACTAAGGTGTATCTTAATAAGATAATTTTTTTTAAAAGTTGTCACTTAAGAAACTTTAGAAAGTTGCTCCATTAGAAAATTATTCTTTTAAGATATTACAGACGTTCATAGTTTTTAGTTTAAAAGTTACTGAAAATTTTAAGCAGCTTTATGGAGACTTGATTCAAATGCCATACAATTTACCTCGTTTGAAGTGTATAATACAAAGTTTTTTTTTCTTTTTAGCACATTCTCAGGTTTGCACAATAGTAACCACAAAAAGTAACCTTATACTCGTTTTCAGTCATTTCCCATTTCCCTCCAACTTGCTCTAGTTGGTCCCATGTTACCACTAATGTACTTTTTGTCTCTATAGATTTGCCTGTTCTACACATTTCATATAAATGAAGTCAGTTAATGTGTGGTCTATCATATCTGGCTTCTTTCATGGAGCATACTGTTTTCAATATTCATCCATGTTGTAGCATACATATATTAATATTCATTTTTATTATTGATTAATATTACATTATATGGAGAGACCTCATTTTATTTATCTATTCATGTGTTGATGGACAATTAGGTTGTTTCTGCTTTTATTTTCTTGAATGGGCATAGTTTTTATTTATCTTGAGTATATACTTAAAAGTGGAATTATTAGGTCATATGGTCACTCCTCATTTATCATTTAAGGAACAGCCACACTGTTTTCCACTGTGGCTGCACCCAGTTTATATTTAGACCATTGAAATATGAGATTTATAATTCCTCATATTGTAACCAACACTTTATTTTTGTCTTTTTTTGATTATAGTCAATCCCGATGAGTGGAAATTAGTATCTCTTGTGGTTTTCATTTGTATTTCCCTAGAGTTCATGATGTTGAGCATTGTTTCATATGTTTATTGAATATTTATTTTCTCAAAAATGCCTATCAGATGCTTTGCTCATTTTAAAAGTAAGTTATTTACCTATTTTTGTTGAGTTTTTATAATATTTATGTATTGTAAATAAAATTCCTTTATTTGATATATGATTTACCAATATTTCCTCTTATTCTCTCAATTATTACAGTCATATTTTGAACAAGTTTTCTATTAGCTAACCAGTTAGGAATGGCAAAATAATAATTTTGCTAATATTTTAAGTTTTTCTTCAGAAAAAAAGCAACTAGAATTTAGCAAAATAACTTTGCAGATTTGGGCAATTTTTTTGTATGTAAAGCAGAAAAAGAGGTTAAAACTTAGGACTGAGGTGTCAATGAGAACTTACTTTTATTCAAAAGAATCTTTAAACAGTACCATGATGAACTGTGAATGATCCCAATGAATCCAATCTATAGTTAATTGATTTTCTTATCACACCATTATTTCATTAATTCCCTCAATTGTATCAGGCAATGTGGTAAATAAAGAAAATACATAATTCCCTCAAATAACTAATAATTAAAACACTAAAATAATTGTAATGTGTTTTAGAAAGCGTTTTTTTTTCAATAGTGAGCAATTAATAAGTCCCAGGTATTATTAAATCCTTGGGAAACAGAAACATTAAGATGATGTGCCTTGTCTCCAGTAGCTGCAAAGTGAATGAAAATATGAACACTTTACATGTTTCAGGTAAACACACTATAATAAAGTGCAAATCATAATAAAGCACTGTACTAGTCAGAAGTGATCAATTGTACATGGCTATGCCAGGCAAGGGTCCACAGAAGAAACCTTATAAATTTCAAATAAGACATATATACATGACAACATATATGATATTATATTCTATATAAATATGCACATATTAATATATGTACACCATAAATACACAATATACATATGCAATATATATGTGTGTGTGTATTTATATCCTCTACATATATTTCTGTACATGCAAAGAAAGAAGTAAGTATCTAAACACGTAAGAATTAATGGAACAAACCATAAAATTAATAAAATCTTCAGATAAAATAAGGTCTTCATAAGATAATAGTAAAATTTGGGCTGGATGATTGGAAAGAAGTTAGAAAATGTTACAAGCTATTTGATAAAACTTCTTTCTCCCTCTCTCTCATCCTGTGAGTTTTAGGAACTTTTATTTGTAAATAATCCTAAATAAGTCATCCTGAAAGTACTTTGTGTCACTCTCACTCTTCCCCATTCTCTGGGTCTTAAAAGCAGATGCAGGGCACAGCAGGGAGTCCCAATTCTGGACCCACTCTAGGGATTACAGACCATCTGGGCATCAGTGAGCTGATGCCATCAAGAGGTCTTCAATATCCCTGTGCTCCAAGGAAGGGCTGCTTCTCCTGCTCCACAGCCAGCTCCCACACCCGCTCCCACATACTTCTCCCTAGCAGGACAACATCATCAACCCCTCTCCCCAGGCTATATGCATTTTGTTCAGTCGGAAGATTCAGAGAACATGCAAAGGGGTTGATTTTTTTTTCATTTATCATCATTATCATCACCACCACCATCATCATCATCATCATATTTACTGTGCACCAACTCTAAGCAGGGCATTTTGCCACACTTTTCATGTTTAAAATTCTAAAATATGTAACATTAATTTTAAGGAGATTTTATGAGAGAAGTAGGAAGTATTATTTTTCCCCTGTTTAATTTTTTGTTATTTCTTTAAGAGCATCTAGACTCTTCATTGAAGAAGCTATGCCCATTAAAGATACTTTAAACTTAGTGTCAGGCACAATTATAGCTTAGCTTTGTTTGAAATTTATATGCATAACATATTTATTCAGAATTAATATCCATAACTATTTGAACCTGAAACAAGTAGAATAGCTATTGAATTAATTATGTGATTTTATATATATTTTTTTCTCTTCAAAGAAGTTCTTCTAAACCAGCAATATCATGCTCATTATGCAATTCTTACCTGGAAGTCAAAAGTCCAAGGGCTTCCAAAGGACGAGAAAATGTCCATCTTCTCAAGAGGGTATGCATTTCTGAAACAGTCCTTTCATCCCATCCAGGGGTACTACCCAGGACCAAAGGAAGGGAGCAGTTTTCATTATTGCAGTAGAAGCGATAAAACCATAGGTATCTTTTCTTTTCTTCAGAGAGTCTGAAAGAACAGATTAGAAATCAACTTTTCTGGGCTTTGCTACACTAACAAATGTTACTGAAAATGCACAATGGAAACCTCTCTGTACTGCTTTGGATATTGTTTTGGTTTATTTTGGAAAACCAGATCTTTGTCTTGTTGCAATAGTTTGATATGTTACTCCATCAGCTTATTTCCCACTAACTGTATTTTATGTTGAAAAAAAATAAACCTTTAGTTCAAAAAATTCACATGTGTTTTTCTTCCCTTTTATCCTTGTCACTTTTTAAAATATGTCATTTTAGTTGGCAAAATCTCTGTCCCTTTTAGGGCAGAACTATATTCATCTGAATCTTGAAACATATTCTTTTCACAACAGAGGTAATCAACTGTTTACTTTCTGACTTTCTTGACAAATCAACTTAGACAAGTGGGCCTGTGAAGAAATGGCATATTTTAAAGAAGAAATTCCTGCATCTCAGAGCACTCTTCATCAGAGTTCAGAAATCTTTCTGCTGTTCACTTCTAAAACAAAGATCTCAATTCATCTCTGGATTCTGGCTTTAAATATTCAAAGTTCACTGGAAGTTTGGAGTGGAAATGCTGCAGGATGATGCCAGTTTCTCAAGTGCTCAAGTATTTCCCCCTGGAGAGAGGCCTAAAGCAGAGACCTCAGTTTAGGAGGAGGGGAGGGCCACTGAGTTTCTGACAGTTCATCTTGCTCTGCTCACACTCAGCAGAGGCATTCAGAACCACAGGTCAATTGGAGGACAGCAGCCCTTGTGTGCCAATGCCAACCTTTGAACCCACCCTTCCATCTGATGCTGCTGCTCAGCCTGAATCAACTAACTCCCAAGCAGGGCAATGAAAAAAATACTTAATATTAAAAGTCAGTATTTCCCTACAATTTCCTCTGCATTCATCATCATCTGTCAGATGAAATATTTGGAAGAGAGATGATTTTTCAGGTATGTTTAGGTCCCTTTCCTATGCTATGTTACTTTCTTCCCACCAGAAGGCCTATGGGAAAAATCAGTAATAGAATTA